AAACAACCTGCACTGCCAAAGCATCCTGTTAATCAAGGCCGGCCAGCTCTTTCTCCAAAACTTCACCTGTCCGCCCTTGCATGAAGCGAAGGCAAGATATGAGGTCATATTGAGAGGTCAAAATCAGCTCTAAAAAGATGGGAACATTTGGTTTCGTCCCCAAGACATGTGTTTCATGTCTCGAACCCACCAAAGGCTGGTCTTCCAGGCACCCGCCAGCGGTGAGAGCTGAGCTACAAAGGCGCAAAGCAGCCAGCGTTCGAGCCATGGACCCAGAAAGCCAAATTGGTTCTCTAATCTGAGTCACAATCAAAACCTTGTACAAAAATGGTGAACCCAGAACCATGTAAGAAACTGAAAAGGCGGAATTCCGCCACCATTTCCGGCTGGGACTGCCCCTAACCTTCATCTACCCGGGTGTTGATTGTGACTCAAATCGGTTCTGCAAATGGGGAACCTCTTTTCGGCAGGCGCCTGGACCTGAGCTTTGCAATGGGCGCCCCCTTCGGCGACTTGGCCGATCCTGGCCTTGAGAGACGAAGCAGTTCTCCAAGTGAACCCTCAAGATGGGTGCTGTCCCGTTTTCCGTTTTCTCCAACTCTAAACCATCAAGAGGGTGATCACACAGCCAAGTGAATTCGGCACACGCCGCACAAGCCATCTGGCCCATGGCAAGCCATCTGGCCCGGCCTGTTTATGTAAGAGTAACAACCCCTACAGGGCTAAACATGCTACAGCGAGTAAACAAGCAGAACCAAGATCTGCCATCCATCACTGAAGCTTTGAGTTGTTCTCCGGTGCCAAAGGATAACTTTACATGCCTACAGAAACATCCAACCATCGCTCCCGCTTGCTGATCAAAGAAACTCCCCCGAACTAAACTTGGCATGAGCGATCCAGGCTCCATTTGGTTTTGGCGTGAAAAAGGACAATTGGAAGGGATGATGACGAAGTTCTTGGAAGTTAGACCGACTCGGCTTTGCCACGCCTCCACGCCTCTCCCTGAACTGACGGAGGGGGAAAGAAGGCAATGGAAGCTGAAGAGAAACCGTTGCCCAGCTCAGCTTCCGAGCCACAACTGGTCCATGTATTTGTTCAAAGTGGGCCTCAACGGGTCAGCAGACTCCAACTATCTTGTGGACGCCTTTTCTGATTGAAAGTTCATCTATCCTTTGGAGGAAACGATCCGGGATTCCAGGGCTTCCCTACACCCCCCCCCCCCCCCGCTCCCGCGCGCGCACGTGCATTCCCGCAGCGATGCGCCGGTGCCTCGGTGGCTGCAAGGACCCCAGCTACCTTTAGTCACCAGGGATTTTCTTTTCGTTCTTTTTATGGTCCCACGTTTTTTTGGTTTTTGTTGATTGTCTTTGGTTTTTTGGGTAATCAGGTGGCTTCCCGTTTCTGTCTAACACTGGAGACCCTTCCTTCTGGGGACTCAAAAACAGGGACGACATGGAAGCCGCAGAGATGGCGCTTCACTCTGTCCGCCCTTCAATCCCGCCGCGCTCCCTGTTCTCCGGGCGAATTCACATGCAAAAGTGCCCTCCTGAGGCCGCAACAGGAGCAAAGGTGATAGAAGAAGGAGCAGAAGAAACAGTAGGCGCTCGCCGCCTCGCTGCCATGGGCCATGGATGGTCGCACTCGTTCCAAAGCCCGTCGTGGTGAAAGCCCTGGCGACGTTCCCTATTGCGTGGTGTGCTGCTACTCACTGGGCAGTCCATAGAACCTCCTTCCTAGCCTACTGTGGGGTAAAATACAATCTCTGAAAGTGGAAAAAGGCCCTGTTCATAACAACGGCGGAAGGTGAAAGCGCAAATCTGCCACTAAAAGCTGGTGGCGCGCAAAGCAAGGGGTTGAAGAGAATGCGGCTGGGGGAATTGGGGGACTGCTTGGGGTGCGAGCGGTGTATGAGGTTGGGATCCGAGAGTGCCTTCGTCTTAAAATCGCGGCTGAGCACGGCCAAGCACGGCTGAGCGGTTGAGAACGGCTGAGCACGACTGAGCAGGCTTGGTCGGTGGTCGTTGTGGTTGGGATGGTCGGGATCGCCTTCATCCGGCAGGGTTGGCGCGGTCCAGTTTTGTGAGGTGCGAAATCCCGGCTTCTCACACCTCCCTGCTCAGCCTGCTGAGCCCTGCTCGGCCTGCTCGACCCGCTTGCCCCGCCCGACTCGGCCTTGCTCGGCCTGCTCGGCCTGCTCGGCCTTGCTCAGCCTGCTGGACCCAGTAGATTTTCCTACAACCATTTTGCGGGGATTTGGGATCCTGCGAACGAGAAGAGGCACCGCGCGTCCAATGCAACAACATCCTTATTCACACACGGGAGTCCTCGCGAGTCGCTTGAATCCTGCTCGCATTGCCCTTGGTTTATTGCATCAACACAATGGTGATGCCATGTCAGGAATCAATCACCCCTGGTTTGTCTCAGTGAAGCCAATGCTTACACCTTGTATACATCCGACTTGAAAGAAAGCATTGGGTGCCCGGGCGACCAGCAGCAGCAGCCAAAGCGCCGCAGCCTGACGCCGAGGGCTCGAGGGGCCCGTCACTCTCTTGCACCCGTGCCAAGCGGACAAACAAACAGGATCAAACCGGACCGGCAATAGAAAACAGAGAAAACAGCCAATCAACGCACAATGAGCAACATGCAATAAGCAACACACGCCAAGAACGAACAACAGACACGCCACAGATACAAGCCTTTTTACCCTGTCACGCAAGGCAAAAGTCTATGGCAATGCCGGCTCATGCCTCCACTTACCGTTGCAAATCACGCAACAGTTGGCCTGAACAAGGCAACTGGAGCCACCGACATGCCTAAACCGAGCTGACTCCCCGCGCGCGCGCGACACTTTGGTCAAGCCGGGAATCCGGAGATTTCCGCACTCCAGCCCTCTCGGGATCTAAATTGCCACAGAACCCGAAGCTGCAGCACCTTGGACAGACGGGTTCCGCAGATCTTGCTGCCCCGTGGCCAAACTAGTGCACAATTCCTTCCAAAGGAGATGATCGGATCCCACTCATTCTACGCACTCAGTACAAATGTACGACTTGTTGACAGCCCAATTTTTCAAAGGAGAGGTGTGGTGTGTGGCGTTCCTACCCGCTGGGAAATCCGACCTACCGCTTGAAAGGGTGAAAACTTTAATTTCATATTTGGAGGATACGACCCCTGGCTTGGACAATCTGGACTTGCAAATAGTTGGAGTAGTCCGGAGCGGTTGGAGTAGTCCAGTAGTCCGGAGCGGTTTGCACGGAATTGGATCAGGATGGCCTAGCGTGGTTTGCTTTCGCGAGTTGCATTTGGTTAGTTCCTGCTGACCGCAAGCAGGTATTGACAACATGTTCAACAATTGCGGTGTGAGTTAGGAATGGTTTATGTAAAGCGGTGTAGCCTGCTTTACAGTAGGAGTGAGGTTAGGTGGGTCAAGAAAGCTGGCTGGATCACAGCGCGTCCAAGCGGATAAAACTCCTCCCTGCTCCTAGCATTTCATGGCGCTGATGACATTGTGAATCATGCTGCACCATTTGCTGTCACAGTCACCGGCACCCCTCAAAAGACAAAAAGTCAAGCACACCCCTCCCTCCACCCCTCCATGGCCACGATTCTGTCTTTAATATGGCCTTTCCAAAGGTGGTGCTTCAAAATCCTTGCGGGACTTCGGGCGAGTGGGGAATAGCGCTGGACCCACCCTCCCCGGTGCGAGCTGAAGAGCCGCTTCCTCAACGCAACACCGCACTGCCGCTGGAGATGTGCAGCAGCAGGAAGCCTGAGATATCGAGAAACCGAAGGGGCGTCGCTTCCTTCAACATGGGCCTTCGGTTGCTCCCCAAATCAGAACGCCTAAGGCCAACTCCTTAAATCAACCCATGGTCATCTTGAGATCAAGAGCCAACTTGATGGGGGGTCACAGAAATGGACGGTTGTCCGGGTGTCAAAATAGGGACTTGGAGGACAGGTGACGTTTCAAGCCAACCAAAAGCGGCTCAAGTAATTGTTTGGACCTCTATCTGGCAGTGTTCCTTTTGGTTGTCCCTTTCAACCAACCTGAAAAGGGGACCCAGCCTCAAAACAACACACGCCCAGACGACAAAGGTGTCACAGTTGATGTTCCTCCAAAACTGGATTGGAATTGACTGCCAAAATTTTGGACAGGAACATGGTCTCAAAGATCGCTCGCATGTCCGACTTATCAGTTGGAGACGTTGTTCAAATTTAAAAGCTTGGGCTACCGGCTGCCTGACGCTAAGTAATCAGCAAACCACCTGCATCGGCCGCCAAATGATAAGTACACACCACCGCAATAAGCTATCCGGAAACCGAGCAAAGGATCATGAAGCAGTCATTCACCATGGGTTGGAGACAAACAATGTGGGTAGCCCAGCTCAAAGGCTGAAAAGGAATCTGATAGTACTTCCTTCATGGCCGCCGTCACATGACGGGTTCTGTGATGAAAAAGCTTGGATAATGTCCGGCGGTGAAGACACTGCGGCCTGTGAGCTCTCTTGCTCTGCATTTGTGCGGCCCATATGACCCACGGACAAAATTCCTTATTCCCCCAAAGAACATGAGATTGGTTCCCTCATGTTCCTGCCTAAACAGTTAACTGCCGAAAATATTGCCACCACATTGAGACCGTCCCAAACAGATCTGTACCAGAGACTGGGGGGGTGCCTGACAAAGCTCAACTCAGCTTCCCCCTAATTGGTGATTTGAATTGGTGGTTTGGAGGTGTTCTGGGGTGGTTTCACATTTACCCTCTACAAGAACCAGAGGTTCAAGTCCCAAACCAACAATCCGAAACACCAACATCGCGTGCCTCATTTTTTAAGGGACCACCCAGAATTGGTGCTGTCCTTTTGGTTTCCCGTTAAAGCAACCCCAATAAGGGCAGCCGCAATGCCAGACCCAGCTAAGGGTACCTGATCAACCGGAAGGCAAAGGAAACGACTCCACCCGCAGCTCCCGGAGGCAATTCAAGCCGCTCGCAAAGTGCGCAAGCATCAGGAAGTGGACGGTATGGCCCGCTGCGGCGAGCCCTGGCAAGTCAAGCCCAGCCTCCCGCGCTTGCCCCTTAAGTGGTGTGCCCTTGGGAGACCCTTGAAATTCTAGGGTGCCTTTGGGGGCGGAGTGACACCCAAGGGATCCCCAATCTTAGGACACCCCAAAAAAGAAACTGTAGGCGGGAAGGGCGGTGCTTTGATGACCCGCTAAGTCAGCTGCTTTGCCAGGATGGCTTGTGGCCTTGATCAAACCAAGGTGGGACTGGGGATGTAGGGAAACCCAAATAGGTCCCTTGCAAAAACTTGGCTCTGCTCGTTGAACCGATAAGTTCGTGATTGACAAAGTGTATGTCCTGTTTGCCGCAGACATGGTAAACAAAAAAGGCAGTCCCCAAACATCCCACCCGGATTCTTGGCGTCAGGGTCGAGGTTCCTTTGTTTGTGACATGGGTAGATCTTGAGCTTGTCTTTGGTGTTCCAACGGGTGTTAAGTGTTCTTACAACAAATATACCCAATCGCATCGGAAACTCGGAACTTGCCCGAAACTTCACCCAACTTCCCACAGAATCTCCCTGGAACGTGCTTGGAACTTTCCCCATGGCTGCTCCGACTAAGACCCCATACTCAAGGCTTCAAAAACCCAATGTTGATGATGAGACTCCTTCAAAAGACAGTCATCTTAACCCAAGATCAGTTAGACCCCCTCCAAATGGGGGACCCCCTAAAATGGTGTTGGTCCATGAGTATGTCAAGATAGGATTTGGACACCCAAGATGGTGGCAGAACCCAGCAGAGATGTTCAAAACCAACAAAAAAGAAGGGAACTATTCTAGTCCCCCTCTGTTTTTTAGGGACCCCTGTCTGCAGGGAAATGGACAGGAGTGGAAAACATCTCGTAGTTTTTGTGCATAGATGGAACCCCTCCAAGTGTTCCGGACCGGTGCCAACGGTCCTGACAGGTGTTGGATCTTCCACGCCGTGACAAGGTCCTCGAAGATGTAGAAACCTCAAAAGGCACTGAAGGGCCTCGAGACTCTCGCCACTTGGCAATTGGTTGCTTGCTTGCTTGCTTGCTTGCTTGCTTGCTTGCTTGCTTGCTTGCTTGCTTGCTTGCTTGCTTGCTTGCTTGCTTGCTTGCTTGCTTGCTTGGCTGGCTGGCTGGCTGGCTGGCTGGCTGGCTGGCTTGCCTGCTTGCTTGGTTGGTGAATGGCTGCTGTTTGGCCCAATCCGTTGCCTGCGGGTCTACATTTGCATCATGAACAAGTGAGTCGGACCCCAACTAGCAACGCTGCCTTGCTGGTCACATGCATGCTTTCTGGCAAGGACCCTTTTTGAGGCTACTTCAAAGGGAAACCCAATGTTTCAACATCCAGTTCGAGGGATCTATTTGGAGACAAACCCACCTACCCGTGTGAAGCATGCGGCTTTCGTCTGTCCAGGTCAAGCGCACTAGTGCGTCCGAAGGGCCAACCAAGAACACCTCGGCTTCCCGCAATGGGGCGTCGGGCAAGTCAGGGCATGGCATCTATGTATTCCCTCGTCGTCGCTCTGTGTAGCTCTTGAAGCAGAAAAGCAGGGGCAAGAAACGAAAAGTCGCATACTGCCAACAAGTAGTCGTTTGCATCTTCGCATGGTGACCTCTTCTCCTGTAGGAGGAGCCTGAACACAGGGCTGACCATGCAACATTATGCATGCGTTTGTGACTCATTGCAATGCACAAGATCGGCAACTTGGCTTCAGAACATGCTTAATCTCCATTGACGCATGAAAGAAATTGCCCAGCATCAAGCTAGCGGGGTCTTTCTCCAACCTCCAACCATAAAATCTAATGGTGTCCGCCTGGTTGGCAAGGCAGCTGCCAGCCGGTTCCCACCAATTCTAAGCTCAAGCCCAGGCCATAGTGGGACATATATATTTTTTTCGCACTTTGTAGGTCTGTTGCCTGTTGTGCAAGTGTGACCTCACGAGTCGACTGTGGCCAACATGTAAAACGGGTCATAACCAAAACCTGGGCATCACAGGAAGCTAGCCAAGAATGTGATGACTCACTGAAGCCTGGAGCTGCTTCTATGCGTAATGGTTCATCCAACACATCCGAGGGCCCCTCCAAATGGAACAGAGAGCTGCAGCGCAATCGTTTCCACTCCAAAATCGATTCCAGCTATGACTGGGCAAACTTGATGAGTCCCCTAATCTGAATCGATCATCCTAAATGTACCCAACTCCACGCCAACTCGCTCGATACACAATCTCTCCTCGCATGTTCAAACACTGGAAGACCTCCCTTTCGGGTGTGTGGTTCCAAGAAAAGTCCCATCCCGGTGCTCTTCTCCGGGCCCTCAGGGGCCTCACTTGCGGATGCAACTTTCGACCCAACCCGAACCAATTGCTGGGCGTCTTCCAAGTGGAGCGTAGACACATTTTGGGCGGGGAAGGGGGGGGGCCGAAGCGCCCTGGCCTACCTAAGATCACACAGGCGGGAAACAAACCCTGCAAAAAGGGAAAGAACGTATATATATATATATATATGGAATACACCAACGCCAACCGCCAACAACATGTGAAAAACCTGCAAAATTCCACTTCCCGCTAATTGGTGGTTTGGATTGGTGGCTTGGTGGGCAGGGGTTGTTCCGGTTTCTTCTACAAGAAGCAGAGTTCAAATCCCCAAACCACCAATCCCACCACCAATTCAGGGGCACCTGAAAACAAGAAAGAAAAAAGCCATGAAACAGAAAGCAAAACGCGCCGCACCACTCCCAGCGCTGCTCCGAGGCTCGAAGAAAAACACGGCCTGCCGCTGCAAGTCCACTCCGCCGGTGCGGGTGACCTCAGAGCGAGCGAGAGCACTGGCCCCTTGAGTCGAAGCTTTTTCTGGTGGCAGGGAGGAATCCCAACAAGGGGCCTCAAAATAAAACGGGGCGGTGCAAATGTACAGCCAAAACCTGTTCGGCTGCGTTAGCCTTGTGCCGAACATGGCTCGAGGCGCAACCAAAATGTGGATGGCTTACTTTTAACACTCCATTTTGAGAAAAACACGCGGCTGCCTCCGATTCAGTTAAGGGATGGTAAACTCTAGCGAGTCGTTCAAAAGACAGTCAACTGATAGAGGGACTGACTCAAAATGACCAAACAGGCTCCACTCGCGATGTCTCTCTGGTTTTGTCCGATTCGCAGAAGGTCCAAATGTATACGCGTGAAGCTGTAGGTGGCTTGTCTGACATCAGGACAAAGAGGGGGAGACAAAGGACACAGAAAGACAATGTCCCACCAAGGAGCATCGTCACTCTTCTTCGCGGTTAGGTGTACCAACCTCGGCATTGCAAAGCGCAAGGATCTTCCCGCGAGCCCGACCTTTGATTGGTGTGGGGGTGGTGTGAAAGGGGAGGGTGAACCCTTGCTTCGCCGATCGCCCCTTCTATTCTTGTTGCAACATAAACAAGGACTGGCAGGATTTGGGCCCACAACCTCCCTCGATCGTGGGCACGCCATAGGCCCTTGACCAAATCTGAGGCACCCCGCCTGAGCAACCCTCCCAGCAATCTTGGAGTTGATCATTTAAACTTGCAGCGCTGTGTTGTGTGTGTGTGTGTGTGTTCAATCAAGCGTTTCATGTTGGAGAAGCAATAAGCATACATGAGTACACATTGCGATGCTGCCGCAATGCAAACCGCCAAAATGAACTACCAGATCCGCTAAACTCAACAAAGCACCCTCTTCGGCTAGTCGCTTGCCTCGATTGCCGCGGGTGGCCGCGGCTTCAGCGCGCAATTTCACTCAGGTTCGCAGTCGGCACCAGTCTGGGTCCATTAAAATGACATCCTGCTAAAGGGAAGCCACCGGGACTCACTTTGTGCTGGGTACTATCTACCATGAAATGAAGCTAATGAAGCTATATGTTATTTTTCTTTCCCCTGAATGGCACCCCGCGCAAAGATTGGTTTCCTGTTGGTCACCTGTGAAAACGACAACCCTCTAGTCTAGGTCCCCAAAAACAATCGACACCCTTCACAAACCAGCCACCACTTTCAGGGCCCAGAAAATCGTTTTCTGCGGCAAGGCCCCCGGTGCCGAGGGGCCAGACCGCAGGGACAAAGCCCAACACCTCGATGTAGCTGGAGGCGGTGAAGATGATGTGCTCCAGCAGCATGGGCAGCCTGGGCCCCGTTGTTGTCTGCCGTTTTTGTGTGTTTTGTTATTTTTTGTCAAGGGGTCTTTTGGCAACCCAAAGTGATGTGTTTTGGGTTTGTTTGCCTTTTTGCTTTTTGTATTCAAAATGCTGGGAACCCAAAGTGCTGTTTTTGTATTTGTTGCTTTATTTTGGTCAAGGGGTCTGTTGGTAACCCAACCAGTCAGAAAGTGCTATCAACAGCCCCCACGACTAATTACCGTTCTCCGAGCGAGGTAGCTCCACACGGCGCCAGCTGGAAAGGCCAATGGTTCTTTGCGAGCTTGCTTCTGGATGGTTGGGCGAACCACTTTGGTCAGAGACATTGCCGATCAAGAGCGCAAGGGCCCTCGTTTGCCCGAAGCCAGGAAGAGCGGGCTCAAGAAAACTCAGCCGGACTCCGAAGCTAGAAAAACAAAAGTGGCCACGAATCCGCGGGGACTTCTAAACAAAACTGGAGAACTTGAAGGAAATGGGGTGCCCAAAAAAAAATGAAACGTGGTTGAAGCATCGGCAGCGCCGGTCAAAACTCCTCGCCGTGGCGCTTCCCTTAACCACTGAGGTCTAAAACCCGTTGGGGACCATCCCTCCAAGTAGGTGGGGATCGGAGTGAAACGATCGCCGATTCCGCCACTTCCTTTGGCGGGTTGGCCAAGTCAGAACGGGGGATTGGCTGTTGACGGTTGGGGGGACGATGGTTGTTTTTGTACGGGGCATCCACCCTGCGAGGCTTCTAGTGGGAGCGAGTACGCTAGGAGTGGTGCAAATCCACTATGTACCAGCTGTATAAAGCTATCCATATATGTAGGTTGCATAGCTTGGAGAAATTGGCGCTACAGCTTCAGGGGTACATGACAACAGCACTTGATGGCAGCCCAGGAGCTTTCAGCGTACAAAAGTTGATTGGCCGGTGTCGAAAGCCCCTGAAGCGCTTGCGGAACCTCTTGATGTTCAACATCTGCCCACGGGTGTTCCTCAAAATAGCGGTCCAACCAGCCAACGAACCAAACAAGCAAGCAAGCAAACCAACCAACCCAGCCAACCGACCAAGCAGCCAGCCAACCAACCAACTACGGCAAAGCACCAACAAAAACTCAATCGCTGTTCGTTGCTTCTACTGGGAAGCAAAAGGAAACCACCTGAAAACATCCCGAAGCTTGATCCATATTGAAAAACCAGTGAAGTTGATTCCTGTTGAATTCTTGAGAAACCTGTGCTAGACCAAAACCCCCCGTACGGGTGAAGCTTTTGCTGCTTTTGCTGGTTAAAAGGGAAATGATCGTACATGCTAGTTTTAGCCGCCGGTCAACACCAATGGGATCCCATTTTGGGGTAGTGAATTCACCACCCACTTTAGAACCTATTTTAGTGGGACAATTCAGGTTGAAGATTCTGAAGCCATCGACTCCATATGGCTATGGGTCAAAACCCATACCCCCAGTGAGCATCAACCAATAAGCTGGAACCTGAGGTTCATTGGGAAGGAACGCAAGACGGGATGGTTTGCTTTTGGCTTCCGTAGCACCACCCCCGTTTGCTTTTGGTCTCCCCTATTTTTGAGATACCCCAATGTAAGTAAGCCGACATGAAACCTTTACCAACCCGTGGTTTTCAAGCCCAAGGGACAACGCCCTCCAAATCGCGTCCCTGCATCCTGAGAGAAGAGCGAAACAAAATATGACGCGTTTAGTGCCAAAAAATGGTGGTTGCCCTTTGGTTTCCCTTTAAACCAGCCACAACAAGATAACCTCAAAACAAGACAGACCCTCACCCCAACTCAAGTGAGCTCCAACCTCCACCAAGTCTCACGGCCTGGGTTCTTTTTGCAAAGCGGCTTGGTGGAGCCATCAATCGTCTCGCTCACGATGGATCCCACAGTCGCCAGTAGCACCAGGCACCCGACGTCCTTGTGCTCCTCGCAAGAGCGCGCATTTGCGCGGCGTTCGATGCCCTTTGGGCGCGAATACATGAAACGCGTGGTTTCAATACGCAAGCGCCTGAAAGCTAGGCGCTGAGCATGTCTGGAATCGGCCATGCGAGGGAGATTGAAAAGCAAAGTCGGACCGCCCAACAAGCGATGTTTCAAACAGAAACTGAGACCTCAGAGACAAATGCAAGGAGACCTGTCAGAGCTGTCACAAAGCAGTAGGTTAATAGGTTGGCATCATGGGGCCAGCTCTCTGGTCATGCTTCGCTGTTGTAACCTCGACTCATTTGACCGGTTCACAGCAACACGGCTGGTGGGTTTGGGCTCATGTCTCGGATCCGCGCAGAGCCAAGGCGCTAGGATGGAGTGAAAGCGCCACCGGAAGCGGAAGCCCCAGTGCAGCCTCAGTCGTGGCGTTCAAATGGCATCCCAACTCAAGAAACCCTCATGATTTCGATGTCAAATCGGATGCAACTCGAATCTGGGTGCCCTGAAGCGTGCCAGGCTCGCTTCGTTGCCAAACCATTTTCGTTCTGGATCTCCCGTTCTGTCCCAAGAGGTTCTCGCGTCGACAGGTTCGACCTCTGAAACGCGAAACGGGTTCAATCAGCCACAGGGCACGGAGAAGTCGATTGCCGTCATAGCGTTCACAACTGAAATGCGAGGGCCTGAAGAGAGAAAGGCCCCAGAAACAGAAGCAAATAATTCCCGCTAGAAGCTTCGGGGCTATCCGGCAGTTGCTCGGATTCCAAAACACGTCAATGATAGTGAGCCTAGGTGTAGGGGACCCCACCAACTGGTCAAGTCCGTGTGAAAATCACCCGCCAAGACCAGGTGCCTAACTTTAGTTGAAACACCCATCTTCGTGTCTCTCAAAAAGCATCGTCATAGACACATTTGGAGGGATCCCTTGTGGGGAGAGGGAGGATCCTGTTTCGAAAAAGTCCTTTCACCTCACTTCACTATCCATTCCCCAAGGCAATCCACGCAATCCCGCAAGGGCCATGCCTCAAGTCGAGTCTTCTAGGGGAACTGTAAACGAAACAGTGCCCAATTCGGGCATTTCATTCTCCGTCCTTTTGCCCAAAAGCCTTCAGAACCCGAAGCCGTTCCGAAGGCTGCGCTTCCAAACCGAGCAGCACACCGGCCACCGCCACGGTGCCCGCCAGATTGGACCAGCCGATGCCCACTTCCATCAGCGGCCAGGCCTCGAGGATCGACGAAACGGCTGCGGTACCCGCAACAAGTGCCCCATGTGGTCCGTTTTGAGCTGGTGACAAGGGAAAAATGAAGGGAACCCAAAAAAGGAGTTTTTGCCAAGGAAAAAGGCAGCTGAGTGAAGTCCAATGAGGTTGGAAGCGGGTTCGTGCAAATGACCTACCCAAAAGTTGGATGCCTTTTGCTAGGTGGTCGGGGACCCCCCACCATTATCCAAGTGACTCAAAGGCTAAAGCCCTGTATGGAAGAGAAACCAATGGAATGCGTCCGAAAGGGTTACAGTGAATGCAGGTTCTTTTCAATGTTGTTCCTCTTGATCCAAACCGTGCAGTCCAGGGAGGCTTGGATAAATGATCCAGATCACAGGCACAGTGATTGCATTCAAGACACCATGGTAGCTATTTGTTGCTTACCTCCAGTGTTCACGCCTAGTTTTTCTAGTTGCCCCGGGTTACCAAGAAGTCGTCCATTTCAGGACCCAAAAAGCCACATGGCCATGAGTCAAAGCCCGTACCCCCAGTGAAGGGGTGGTTTGCTTTTGGCTACCCTAGCACCACCCCCATTTCAGGTCTGCACTATTTTTGAGATACCCAGGACCCAACAAGCCACATCTCCCTCCAAGCCGAGTGAGCCGAGGCGCGCAAACGCGGAGGAACATGAAGCAGCCATGTAGGAGCAGCACCTAGCCATGTCAACAGGTTCCTTGGATGCAATGGCGGTGGCTGTCAAAAGGTAGGGTAACCCCAACATGATAATAACCCTGGCAAATTGAAACATGGACTAAAATATGTTCTTTTGTGTGGTTTGATTTTGACCCATGCCCAAATGATAGGAATTAATCAATCAAGTCAAAGTGCATGTATTAGTTTAAGTGGCTTGTTTGTGTAGGTTCCCAGGTGGTACCCCGCTTTCGCGGGGGTCTGTTGGGAGAAGTTCTACAGTCTTGCAAAAGGGCTGCACATATATGGCTTTCAGGGTACGGCCTTAAGGGTAGGACTCCGGATAGCTTGGTTGTTGAAGATCATGGAAGGTTGCCTTTCAAGGGGTGAGACCCAAAAAATCGAAACAATGTTGTCGCCGGGAAAAGGAAACAGAAAGAACATGTTGGTTGGTGGGTCGGTCGGTTGGTTGGTGGGTCGGTCGGTTGGTTGGTCGGTCGGTCGGTTGGTTGGTTGGTCGGGCAGTCGTTTCGTTGGTTGGTTGGTTGGTGGGTGGGTCGGTCGGTAGGTTGGTTGGTGAGTAAGTGGCTCGGTCGGTGGGTTCGTTGGGTGGTGGGTCGGTCGTTTGGTTGGTCGGTTCGTTGGTTGTTGGGTTGGGTTGGTCGGTCAGTTGGTTGGTTGGTTGGTTGGTTGGTTGGTTGGTTGGCTGGCTGGTTGGTTGGTTGGTTGGTTGGTCAGTCAGTCGGTTGTCGGTCGGTCGGTCGGTTGGTCGGTCGGTCGGTCGGTCGGTCGGTCGGTCGGTCGGTCGGTTGGTTGGTTGGTTGGTTGGTTGGTTGGTTGGTTGGATAAAACAAAGAAAAAGTTGTCATTTTGGCATCTACCTGGTATTTGCATCTACCCTACCAACGGCCAGACCTATTTATCAGTTCCTCCCTATTGATGATTAATTTGGCAGATGTTAGGGATACGTCCCCGAATATCCGCCGACCCCTTCTCCTCAAAGGGGGAGGCGCGCGGGAAGGGTGCTTGCAGTACAAGCGCATGGATTAATCTTTGAGGCAAGCATATGACTACTGGCATCATACGGATGCCCATCATCATCATCATCATCATCATCATCATCATCATCATCGACATGATCCTTCATCATTCTTATCGTCAACATCATCATCATCATTTCTATATCCTTCAACATCATCATCCTCGTCATCATCCTTATTTTTTTGATATACGTTTCAATTGTGGCGTTAGAGAGGGTTTGACATGCAAAAGCTGCGTGGACATGATGATCATGATGACTGCCCCCCCGGCCCCTGAAGATTGGGGCTTAACGTCCCGCTCTGGCCCATTGTAGCTGCCACACAGGGGACTCATTTAGGCTTGGGCGCAGGGGGCGCTATCTCAAAAAATGAGCCCCTTACTTTTCGGCACAAGGAGTGCTAGGGATACTGGGCCCGTGGGGTAAGTCTCGGGCCGCCCTGGTGATGCCGAGGATGCTACGTTAGACACCATTGGCAATGCAGAGGATGCTACAACGATAGTTATGATCACAGTCCTCATCCTTATCATCACTAGCATCAGGTCATCATCATCTGTTACTAGCCGGCGCTGGTGATGCCGAGGATGCTACGATGATAGTTATCATCACAGTCCTCATCCTTGTCATCATTATCATCATGGTCATCATCATCTCTTATTAGCTGGCACTGGTGATGCCGAGGATCATCGTCTCTTGGTTCATCATCATCATCACGGTGCTCATCATCATCAGCTTCTTCGTCATCGTCCTTATCTTTTTTATATACGTTTCAAGTGTCCCGTTAGACCCGATTTGAGATGCAGAAGATGCGCGGACATGATTATCATGATGACTGCTGGTGATGCTGAGGATGCGTCATGATGATTATCATGTCAGTTCATCATCATCATCATCATCAGCATCATCATCACGGTGCTCATCATCATCATCTTCTTCGTCATCGTCCTTATCTTTTTTTATATACGTTTCAAGTGTCCCGTTAGACCCGATTTGAGATGCAGAAGATGCGTGGACATGATTATCATGATGACTGCTGGTGATGCTGAGGATGCGTCATGATGATTATCATGTCAGTTCATCATCATCATCATCATCAGCATTCACGGTGCTTATCATCATCATCTTCTTCGTCATCGTCCTTATCTTTTTTTATATACGTTTCAAGTGTCCCGTTAGACCCGATTTGAGATGCAGAAGATGCGCGGACATGATTATCATGATGACTGCTGGTGATGCTGAGGATGCGTCATGATGATTATCATGTCAGTTCATCATCATCATCATCATCATCATCACGGTGCTCATCATCATCAGCTTCTTCGTCATCGTCCTTATCTTTTTTATATACGTTTCAAGTGTCCCGTTAGACCCGATTTGAGATGCAGAAGATGCGCGGACATGATTATCATGATGACTGCTGAGGATGCGTCATGATGATTATCATGTCAGTTCATCATCATCATCATCAGCATCATCATCACGGTGCTCATCATCATCATCTTCTTCGTCATCGTCCTTACGTTTCAAGTTCCCGTTAGACCCGATTTGAGATGCAGAAGATGCGTGGACATGATTATCATGATGACTGCTGGTGATGCTGAGGATGCGTCATGATGATTATCATGTCAGTTCATCATCATCATCATCAGCATCATCACGGTGCTTATCATCATCATCTTCTTCGTCATCGTCCTTATCTTTTTTTATATACGTTTCAAGTGTCCCGTTAGACCCGATTTGAGATGCAGAAGATGCGCGGACATGATTATCATGATGACTGCTGGTGATGCTGAGGATGCGTCATGATGATTATCATGTCAGTTGGTGTTCATCATCATCATCTTCTTCGTCATCGTCCTTATCTTTTTTTATATACGTTTCAAGTGTCCCGTTAGACCCGATTTGAGATGCAGAAGATGCGTGGACATGATTATCATGATGACTGCTGGTGATGCTGAGGATGCGTCATGATGATTATCATGTCAGTTCATCATCATCATCATCAGCATCATCACGGTGCTTATCATCATCATCTTCTTCGTCATCGTCCTTATCTCTTTTTATGTACGTTTCAAGTGTCCCGAGCCGGCACTGGTGATGCCGAGGATGCTACGATGATAGCTATCATCACAGTCCTCAGTGTCATCACCATCCCTTATTAGGCAGCACTGGTGATGCAAAGGGTGTTACGATGATAGTTATCATCATAATCATCATCATGATCATCCTTGTTATGGTGTCATCGCTCTCATCATCATCATGATGATCATCATCATCTCATTCTTGTTCTTATTCTTTTATGCATTTCAAAAGTAACGTTAGACCCCATTGGCAATGCAGAGGATGCTACGACGATACTTATCATCACAGTCCTCGTCCTTATCATCACTATCATCATGGTTACATCTCTTATTAACCGGCACTGGTGATGCCGAGGATGTCATCATGATCTCTTATTAGGCAGCACTGGTGATGCAAAGGGTGTTACAATGATAGTTATCATCATAATCATCATCATGATCATCCTGATTATGATGTCATCGCTCTTCTCATCATCATCATCATGATCATCATCATAGGCAGCACTGGTGATGCAAAGGGTGTTACGATGATAGTTATCATCATAATCATCATCATATTATGATGTCATCGCTCTTCTCATCATCATCATTATGATCATCATCATCTCCTTCTTGTTCTTATTCTTTTTTGCATTTCAAAAGTAACGTTAGACCCCATTGGCAATGCAGAGGATGCTACGATGATAGTTATCATCACAGTCCTCATCCTTATCATCACTCTCTTCATGGTTATTATCATCTCTTAAAAGCCGGCACTGGTGATGCCGAGGATGTCATCATCATCATCTCTTATTACGCAGCAGTGGTGATGCAAAGGGTGTTACGATGATAGTTATCATCATAATCATCATCATGATCATCCTTACTATTATGTCATCGCTCTTCTCATCATCATCATGATGATCATCATCATCTCATTCTTGTTCTTATTCTTATATGCATTTCGAAACGTTAGACCCCATTGGCAATGCAGAGGATGCTACGACGATACTTATCATCACAGTCCTCATCCTTATCATCACTATCATCATGGTTATTATCATCTCTTATTATCATCACTATCTTCATGGTCATCATCATCTCTTGTTAGTCGGCACCGATGATGCCGAGGATGCTACGATGATATATATCATCCAGCCCTCATCTTTGTCATCGTAATCATCATGGTCATCATCGTCTCTTAGTAGCCGGCACTGGTGATGCCGAGGATGCTACCATGATAGTTATCATCACAGTCCTCATCCTTGTCATCATTATCATCACGGTCATTATCATCTCTTATTAGGCAGTACTGGTGATGCAAAGGGTGTTACGATGATAGTTATCATCATAACCATCATCATGATCATCCTTATTATGATGTCCTCCCTCTTCTCATCATCATCATGATGCTCATCATCATCTCATTCTTGTTCAAGGGCTGCCGCCCCCTGGATTTAGTTGTGGTTTTCGAGCAACCAAAAACACTGCCCTTGGTTTTGGTTTCTTTGGTTTCTTGCGAATGATGCGTAGTCATGATTATCATCAAGGCAGGACTCCAAATCTCAATGACCCAAATGGCATCTGAGGCGAGGTGCCGTTTCGACAGTGATGCGTAGTCATGATTATGATCATCGCTGCTGGAGATGCTGGGGATGCGTAGTGATGATTATCCTCATGATTGCCACAGATGCTGCGAATGATGCGTAGTGATGATTATCATCAAGGCAGGACTCCAAATCTCAATGACACAAATGGCATCTGAGGCGAGGTGCCGTTTCGATAGTGATGCGTAGTCATGATCATCGCTAGGCACCCTTGGTAATGCAGAGGATGCTACGATGATAGTGATCATGACAGGGATCATTTGTTGCCCAGCAAGTCACAGTCCCTGTTCGTGTCTTCAAAAATGCAAACAAAACCCTGAAATACAAGATTAGCCTTTTGGGGCCACTAACATTTCACCCAAAAGAAACCAAAGAAACCAAAACCAAGGGCACTGTTTTTTGTGGCTCCAAAACCACAACTAAATCCAGGGGTCGGCGGCACTGGGCGGCAGCCCTTAAATTGGTTCCAAACACCGCTCCGGCCTTGGTGCCGAAGAGCGCCAACATGGCTTCGGGGTCAGGACAGGACCTGGGGTGCTGACCATATGGAAGTCGTGAGCACTTGTTTGAGACCTGGGTTTGCAAACGGAATTACCCAAGATGCCTGACGACTCCTTCGCCAAGCCTTTGAATTAATATGGCCCCAAACGTTGCAGGGCTCGACAGCAGCCTCAGGAGCCAGCGTGATTTGCAGCTCCAAAAACACCAATGGCAGCATCTGAATGACCTCAGCTATCAAATTCACACTTGAAAAAAAGCGCCTTCGACACATCAAACCTACTGCACAATACACGTGCTGATGGCTGAATGAAGGGCCCCTTTTCCTAGATCCCTTGGAAATTGGTTTCGTCTCCAAGAAGCCCCCATAAAGCAAGCAAGACACGCACCCAAAAACCCAAGCCGGAATCTGCCGAGCAGCGATGAGGCCAAGAAAGTGCTTGGAGGAGCGGTCATTCTCATCTTGCCTGGCGCCACAACTGCCACAATTCGCGGTTCGAACCATTTCGCGGTTGCATGCGGTAACTCGCAGATGACGTCGCCAAATGCCTGGTGCCGGCACCTCCCTTCACACGATCAGAGCTCGGTTTTTAAAACTCGGTTTCCCAAAAAGCCTGGGGTGCCGGGAGATGCACTTTGTCCAACGACTCTCTGGCACATCATCCACCTCTTTTGTGAGGTGCGGTCAGCACCGAAACGGCGTGCTCAACTACATCAGGTCTCTAAGCCTGCTGAATTGTGATGCCCATGAACAATTGTGCAGGGGATGCTACAGGTTCCCTTTGAACACCGCATCCTGTTACTGTTGAACATGATGTGGACTTCTGGCAAGGTGCACAGGCAACCCCCCCCCCCCGCAACCCCCCCAAAACCCCACCCCCTTGCTGTGTTTGTGCCAAGGTGCGCTGTGACGTGGCAGTAGTAGAACAAAATCATCGCTGCCAGGATCAACACGCAAGGGAGCACCATGTTCATGATCCTTCCATGTAGTGTTTTCCTCGTGATGTACCAGCCGCCCGCCGAAGTGTGCAGCAGCTTTTGACGAACTTGACTCAAATTGAACCAAGACATCCCAACACCAATCGTCACTTCGGCAGGAGTGACAACAACCTGGCACAAACACACTTTTTTCGCAGAGCACCCAACACCCAACACTTGAAACGCAACAGTTTGAGCGTACCCTTGCTTATTTCTCAAAACCAAAAGAAACAAACACCATGTTTGGGGCTCCCCTATGGCCCAGAATTCACTTCTAGCTTTGACTTCAACGGCCAAGGCGCCGCAGCCATCGTGTCGCCTCGCCCATGGCTGGCGCGGGGCGTGCATTTCACAGGTCCGAGCCGCATCTGCGACGAGCGAGCGATGGTGGCAGATGAGTCATTCGCAAAGTTTCCCAGCACCCCCTGTTCGGTTCACATGGTGGGGTAACCCTTGCTTGATTGCAATCACGAATCATGACGACATGAAGCCAGGTGTGGCGTAATGAGATCCTGCGGCATATGTGTTGATGTCAGCTTCAGTCATGTGAGTCGGAACACTTTTGCGGGGCAATGCGGTGCAAACCAGGTTCTTAGCCTGAAAGGCAGTCATGGAGCAGACGAAACATCTCGTGTGGGGAGGGGATGGATCCCTTCCAGCGAGTACGGGGAATCCGCGCGCGTCGAAAGCGCTGGGTCCTTTTGGACGTTGCGCCCTTTTGGCTGCTCCAATTCAAGCGTCATTCACACGTGTCTGGTGCCCGTGCACAGCGCAAGCAGTGCAGCGGGCGAGTTCTTCGAGCGCGATCAGGGTCATTGCCTGAAAGGCCGTGACAGATCGTTGGCCGATCTGATGGGCCTGCCTGTACAGAACGTTCGAAGGGCCTGGCGAGCCTGGTGTTTGACCAGGGTGGAAAGCTTGAGGGTTAAACCGCTTTGCGGGGGAGCAACCCCAAGAGAGGCCAGGTTAATGCCCCGAACTTCCTGGATGTCCAAACCAAAATGAACAGCAACCAACCGGAAAAAGGAACGAGTCATGCGAATGTCCGAGGCAAGGGTCGTTTGGACGCCCAAGAGGGGACTGGGGTTCCTCCAGATCTCGCCGCTGGTGTGCGAGGTGGGAACCGGCATGCTAAGAGACGCAAGTCTCATCATCACGGCAACCTCAAGCCATGAGATGTGCGAAGCAAGGGTCGCCTGTTCAGCTTCCTGTAGCAGCCAAGTGATGGCTTGCCTGGGGAAGCCCGAATCAAACTTGAATTCGATGCGCGATAGTGATTGGGCCCAGTCCGGGCTCAAAACTTCAGGCCAACTCACGAGAGCCTCTCCTGAATCGGGTTCAGGATCAGCATCGGCAGGTAGGTCGTATTCCTCAAAGCCATCGGCAGCTGTGGGCTGGTTCTCAGCGTTGGTAGCTGCGACTGCAAGGTGAAGCTCTTGAAGGCATGCTAGGCGATGCAGCTGATCTCGCTCAGTTTGGCTGTACGCCGACCAGAGGGTGTGGAACTCTTCAGAGTGCCGGCGATTTGCCTCCTTGGCTGCATAGTCAGCAACGTTGTTCCAGTGCGCCAGCCAAGCATCAACAGGGTCGTCCATCTCGGCGGGGATGCTGTGGCCAGCTGTATGATGCACCAGAAGCTGGCCTTCACCAAGTGTGGCCAGGGTGGCAGAGAGCTGCTGCCAAAGGTCCGCGTTGGTTCGGCTTGGGATGTCATCCGGGGCTTGTTGAAGCTGCCAAATCCCGGTTGCAGTGTATGCAGAATCCGTCCATAGATGTGTTCGGCACCTGCATCGTTTGGTCCACTGCGCAGTGATGAGAGCTGCGTAGAGCCCCCTCGGTTGCTGGACTGTACTTCGCCAGGTAGCGGTCCAGATGCAATTCGTGACTGCCGGGATGCCGATATGACTGACCAAGCTGCTAGGGACAGTGGGCTGTACGTTGGAGATGTGCAAGTGCCATCCGAGAAGACATGGGTGTCCTGCGCTCGGTCACCAAGGATCTCGAAGGAAACAGGCCTCTCGTGGAGGGAGTGCAGGTAGCGACGTAGCTGACCATGGTGAGGATTGCGAGGTGGAAGTAGTCGTTCGCGAAGTGAGATCGGAGTTCCTTCCCATAGTGCAAGTGCTTCGGGATGTGCTGCTCGACTTATGGAGAAGCCCGGGCAATGTAGGCATCTGTGGTCTACAGTGTCTGGCTGCAGGCATCTGGCACAAGTGGCAGAGATGAAGCAATCATACTTGGCCTTGTGGGTGTTGAGGTAGAAGGCACCCTCGCGAAGTGCGCAGATCTGGGCAGACTGCAATGCTGTGTGGTGGGCGCCAAGGTGCCGACATGCAGGCCAGTTGACTCCTTGTAGTCCTTGGAGGTCGGTTCTGGTGGAGGCGTCCAAGGCCACACGTTGGCGCCATGCGTCTTCAAGGATGCTTCGAAGGTAGTGGTGGTCAATGGTGAGGATGTTGTGTTGAAGGCCATCGTGATCGGTGAGGTAAGGTGGAGCTTCGATCTTCCAGGATACGGCGTTGAGTTGGCGAATCAACACCGAGAAGGGGCCGGCGTAGAAGTGGCCATCAAAAGAGGCCTGGAACTGATGCCACATGTCCAGAAGTGCGGCCTGCTTCAGAAGCATCCTGCGAAAGGTCCTCACAACATGCCAGAGCTGGTAAAAGCCTGGATCGGCGAGGGTGTTGCCTTGCAAAAGGCTGAGTCGAATGGCAGGGCTGGCGCCTGCGTTGCCATGCCCAAGTGCGCGAACCGCTGCAGTGCGTAGTTGCTTGATGAGCTGGAGGGAGAAGTCCTCAATGGGGGCGCTGTGGAATATCTTGGGCCACATGGATTGAACCAATACATGGGTTTTGCATAAGCCGGGAGCACGAAGCCGTCGGAGCAAGGACCATGTTGGTTGCAGGTTTTGTACCAAGGTGGAATGATGAGCAACTCGCCTGCGCGGGCCATACGTCATGTGTCCGCCGAGATCTTTGTCCTTCAGGCTGATGCGGTGCTTGAGGAGGCCGAGTTGTTGGCGATCACGCAGATGGACTGCCCAAAGGTAGGTCTTGTCAAGGTCGATGCTGAGCTGAAACATGTCCAGGAAGGTCTCCTGAGCAACCATGGCTTGTAGAAGGGCTCCCGGGGTATGAGCCAAGATCTCCAGATTGTCCACAAAGGAGATGGATGTGGCCCGCGGGGCAAAGTGCGCTTGGTACAAATGATAGCACCAGTCGGTGAGGGCCATGGCCAGACAGCTCAATGGGCAGCCTTCTGGGTATCCGCAGTTGGAGAAGAGAGGAGAGCCCACCGTGTCCCGGATCTTGAAACGTCGCGAAAAGCCGAGCAGGAAGCGACGCCATGCCTCGACAAAATCCGCATCGAATCCAACATGTTTGGCAATCTGCTTGATCGGGCCCCGCGGCAGGTGGTTGAATGCTTTCTCAACGTCAGCAACGCAGCCAACCAATGGCTGCGATTGTTGTGCTCGCAGTTCAATGAGGCCCTGCAAGGGGAGCCAGATCTCCTGAGCTTCTCTAGTGGGCAAGAAGCCAAACGCCGGGCAGTCCATGAGCTGCTCGAGCTGTTGAAGTCCCTGTCTGGCGCGAATGGAGGACCAGGTGCGGTAGATCATGCTCAGGATGATGATGGGTCGGTACTGAGACCTCCTCGGCATCAACGCACTTGGCAAGGCCGTGGGCGTGGCCGTTGAGAAGCTGCTGAGGCCATTGTTCACCATGTTCAATGCGGTGAAGTAGATCGAGGTGCGCTTGCTTGAGTTGAGGTGGCATGTTGATGAGGTCGAGGCGTCCGTAGCCATCTGGCCCTCGGGCGGCGTGAGCTTTGAACTTGTTGAGGGTGTTATCCCATTGGGGAAGTTGAAGGCGTGGTAGGTCGATGGCGCCCTTGGGAACGTAGGCTTTGACGAAGCCAAAGATGCGCTTCCAGGCTTCTTGAGGTAGGTCAGCATGCTTGGACCATCGCTTCTGCCAAAACTGTTCCAACGTGGAGTGGATCTGAGATTCGGAGGACAGGTGATGGTGCTGGTGTAGCTGTTGTCCCTTGACAAGCAGGAGATCCGACTCGACCTCGAAGGTGTCCTGGGAGAGCTGTTTGACGGTGGCGGGCGTCCCATCCACCCACCAGGTGGCATATGGCCTGCTTTCCAACGAGGCATCAGTGTGGATCTGCGTGCCATCCGCTGAGACCGCGAGGATGGCGACGGTGTGTTTCTCGACCAGGCGATCGATGGGCTCCCGCATGGCTGGTTTGATAGCCTTGAAGATGCGGTGGTGATGTTGCTGTAGTCGAGCTTGGTTGCATTTCGACTTCTGGCGCAAATTCCAGCTTTCAAAGCTCCGGAAATTGTAGCGGAAGTCGTTGTAGATGTTGTGCATGAGGTCGAGGGATGGAGCATAGAGTGGCAAGTGAGGTGGGCTGCCTTGGAACTGGTGCTTCCTAGTGGGCCACCATTCGCAGAAAGTGGGCTGAAAGCCCGGTGCGTGCAGTATCGCATGCCAGAGCTCGGTCCGGTAGAGTTGGTGCGTAGGGCCTTGGCCTCCAGCTTTGAGGGCATGGTGCATGCTCTGAAGACGTCGTAGTTGTCGAAACCATCTGAGTACAGCCCGGCTGATGACATCAGAAGCCAAATGCTCTTCTCCTGGGCGACTGGGTCGAAGGATCGGAGCTTGTGGTTGTCTCCGTACTGGTTGGAGGCGTTGGCCTCGACCAAGGCAGGCAGGTGGCAGGCGTATGTGCGAGTGCTCGGACAGGTGGTGATCAAGGCTAGTCTCATAGAGGTAGCCCAAGTGCTTGTAGTGTGAAGTGCGGTCCAGGGTTGGTTGGGTGTCGTTGGGGCTGGGTTGGAAGGATGCATGCCAGGTCTGTATGTCGGCTTCCTCCCATGGTAGCTGTGCTGGTAGTGGCCATGCCCAGTAGCTGGGGTGATTGTCCGGTATCTGGAAAACACCATGAAGGGCTCCATGATCCGCAAACCATGCTTCGTAGTGAGCTGCAGTGAAGAATGCTGCAAGTTCGGGCGAGATGTAGAGCCGATCAGGGCGCGACATGCCACGATATGTGTCCTGGGGGACGTAGCCCGAACGTTGGTGATGAAGGGTCTGAATCTCGACCCATCCCGCTTGAAGCCATCCCTGGATGGATGGCAGGGATTCAGGGTGGTTGAAGTCTCCTGCGACATAGCGGAGACCTTGCATGCCGATGATGAACTCCTGGGAGACGGACTGGAGCATGTTCTCCGTCAATGTTCTGGCTCCTGGCCAGGTGGGGGAAGTTGGCCAACCGTACAGGTTCAAGCCGCTGATCTGGAAGTCCCCAATCCAG